CTGCCTTACTCTCACCCTCACTCTCACTCGTTCTACCTAAGTCTATTTCTCTCCCTTTCCTGTGCATATATATTTGTGCGTTTGTGTTTATGCAGTATCAAAGAATGAAGATTTTTATGACAATACGCATTTTCAGACATGAAAAAATAAATAAATAAACTGGCATAAATAAAAAGAAAAGAAAATTAGGGTGATAGACTTTATGCAATAAAGAGTTTTATTTATCGTCTTTCAAAATAGCAAGCAGTTTAAAGAGTTTTCGACATTCAACAAGTCAAAATAATTTAAACTCCAAAACAGGAAAAAGGCAAAATACGAGTTGAAATTTAATTTAAGTTGCGTAGGCGAATGGTAAACAACAAAGGGTAAGAACCAGGAAGCTTTTTGTTTTGCAAATTGCTACACGTGTCCTTTATGCATGTATATATAGAGAGGTTTGTATGTGTATGTGTGTGTGAGAGAGAGTGTGTGGGTGCATGTGTATGTGTGTGTGTTTGTTTGTGTGCACACGTGTGTGTGTTTCTAAATAAGTAGCTTATGTGAATGGAAGCTGTAAACACATCTATAAACTCTAGCTGCTTTCCATGTACACCTCTAATGAGTGCATTCAGTATAAATGCCTTTACTTGTACTCAGTTCAACAGATGTCTGCTTAGTATTCTGTGATTGTTGTAATTGTACATGGTAAAATGAAAATATAAATTATACATCATGCAAAAGAATATTAGACTGATATGTTTTTGACACTGTGCTTACATAACACTGTTCTTTGATTTCGGCAATTTTGCATAGTGAAATTTGATATATTACGAGTATATCTTCCAATGTATCAGATGAAATGAACTATTCACATAGTTCTTTATACCTCATGTTACGTGGTCTGAATGGCTGTATCACATGACATTTCGAGATGTAGTGCTCAAGCGTTCGCTTGTTTTCTTCGTTACACAGTCTACATCTAGATTCATTTGCACTTCTTGCACCGTGCAGTTGCCTGTACAGCTTTCAAGCCTTTGAGTGCTCGTCAGATCTACTAGTTCTTCCTTATGAGAACTCTTCAATATATTTGCAACCCTAGCAAGAGGCATCTATGTTCACAGTATATATATAGTGGAAATAAACATTATTCTATCAGAAATGGATGTTAAGTTTAGTTCTGATCTTATGTCCACTATCCTTGCTTTTTTCGGAGCACTGAGGATAATCCTCATGGCTTCATTCTGCACTACGCCCAAGCTGTTTATTTCAGATTCTAACAAGTGCAGTGCATGGTAGTCTACAACTGCCCTTAGCCAAGTAGAGCGAACTTACCTCTGATGCCATGTCTTATTCCGACAAGAACTTTCAACGGCGCCTGAACGCGCTTTTGTTCCCTTAATAGTGTAGGTTGTTTTGGGCGTTGTGAGTTGTTGCGCTTTAAGGTTTTCTTTGTAGTTAGTGACCACTTTCGTCACGTGCATGGAGAATTTATCAACACTCGTTATTGAGTAATCGTTATACCAGTCATAAATACGTGATTTGAAGTGGTGGTCAAGGTAAGGAGGAACAGAAGATTTAAGCCTATTTGTCTTTGTAAGACAGCGTATCTCGGTACTATTGCAAAGTGGCCCTCGAATAACTCTATTGTAAATATGTTTCTGACTCTCCCATGCACAAGCTCCTTCCCTATTACATAATCCAGCCTGCCCCCTCCCCCCATTTTTCCTATCTGCACTAACACTTTTAAAAGATTTTTTTTTTAGTCCTTTATTTACCACCCTGGTTAACTGCACACGCCTGGGCAAGCTGTGGTACATTTGATGCATGGTCATAACATTACATAATAGTATTACATTTGAATTTTAGGCTACAACATTATTATGATAAATACTATATCATTTAAAGGAAAGGAACAATTACACAGTCCTTTATCTACTCGTCTACCACGCCGGCGTACAGCTTGGGCGTGGAAAGGCATTGCTACATATGCGGTCATGTGATACTGCATTCCAAATTTAGGATACAACATAAGTATATCATTTGGCATCAGATGATATGAAAGGGTTACATAGTTCTCCGTACCTCATGCTAGGTGGTCTGAAAGGCACTCTGAGATATAATGTACAAGTGTTCGCTTACATTCTTCATTACATAGTTTATACTTAGTGTAAACTGTACTGATTTGCCAATACAGTCTATATCTAAACCTGATTATTACGGTCACAATATCACACTGTCTTTGTTCTTATTTCATACAAGTCATAGATGACCGGCCATAGTGCCTTATGCTACAGCTTTCAGGCCCTTGAGAATTAATCAACTAGAAGTAAACAAAACCAGGCGTTACAATCCCGTAGACTTAAGCGATATACCGAAACCAAATCTTATGTTGTACATTTCATATCTTCTGTTTTTACACCAACATGTTTCTTATCTACATATCTTACTAACTAACACATTATCACCAAGACATAAAACATCAATAGAGTATATCATTTCAAACTTTCTCTCTGTTGCATGACAGAATGCATGAGAATAGCCACGTGTCTCAATAAACGTACAAGATAAACAAGAATAGATAG